GCCTGCGACCGGGGCCACCGGGCGCCCGCCGCCAACCACAGGTGGAGCCAGGCGGCTATGCAGGACACTTTCTACCTGAGCAACGTGGCGCCCCAGGTGAGTGGCCCGCACTGAACCCCGAGGTCCCAGCGCAGGTGAGGGAGGCGTGGGGCTGCTCCTGGGGAGGTAGCTGTCACCGTCCCCTAAGGGAAGCCGAGGTGCTTGTGTAATCACGCGACTCCAGGAGCTGGGGCTCCAAGAGAAAAGGGAGAACTGGCAACGCTGGGAATAGGCCGGGTTCCTTCCCTTAGGTGGGGAAGGGAGGTGCCACCAGACTGAGTTGCCCTGCCCCTTTCCAGCTGAAGCGGGATTGTGGCCTTGCTATTCAAGCAAGAACCCCTCTCCCTGGAATGTAAGGAAGGGGATATGATTACTGAAAACACAGGAGTCCGCTTCACTTTTAAAACTGCTCTTCTTTTTTGTTAATTTCCAAAACATCATGGCTATGTCAACACTGTGCATTGTTGAGCAATAAGATATGCAAATGAGGTGCGGGGATGACTTATCACCATGCCTCATTTGCATACCTAATGAGCAGCCACTTTTGCTGCAGGGCTTTTGCGCAAGAAGGAGCAGTGTAGACAGCTCCTTCCTGCGTAAAAGCCCATGCAGCAAAAATGGCGTGTCATTAGGTATGCAACTGAAGCACGGTGATATTCATCCCTGCGCCTCATTTGCATATCTTATAGTGCAACAATGCGCAGTGTAGACGTAGCTCATATGAGTAAACATCTCAAATGCACCTACATAGAGCTTTAAGGACTGATTTGTAACTACCAAGGACAAAGGGGCTTTCAGTCACATTGAAGTCAAAACTTGCCGTTTCAAAAGAACGCATAAAAAGGCAAAGTAAGATACACCAATCTCTGTACAAGAGGCGTATCAAAACTTGCTGTTTCAAAAGAATGCATAAAAAGGCAAAGTAGGATACACCAATCTCTGTACAAGAGGCGTAGAAATGTAGGGCTGGAGGGGATCTGGCGTGGTTCCCTATGGTGAGGCAGGACCAAGGAAACCTAAACCATCTCTGACAGGTGTTTATCTAACCTACTCTTAAAAACTTCAAATGTGGGGGGATTCCACAACCTCTCTTGGAGGCCTAGTCCATAGCTTAACTACTGTTAGAATTACAAAAGTTTTTCCTAATATCTAATCTAAATCTACACTGCTATAGATCAAACTCATTACTTTTTGTCCCATCTTCCATGAGAGTGTCTCTGCTATGTGGGAGGGAGGAAGCCTAGATACCACACAGTGGGAAGGGAGATGTCCAAGTTCCATTCTCCCACCCGGAAACTGTTTCATGAACAAGGGGAAATTCAGGCACTGAAGTGGAGAAGTCCAGTGGAGTTTGAGGGAGCCCATGGTTCTTGCTGCACAGGCTTACAAACTGTCTCTCACTCGCAACATGGGTGGTAAACATGCCCCTGAAGCTTAATTCCATCTGGAAAAACTCTCACATGGTGCACTTCCTTCTTGATGTAGCTGTGCTTTTATTGAGGGTTAATGGCTTTTCCCCTAACTCTAGTGCTTAAGTCTACCTGCTCAAACTTTCTCCATCTCCAGAGAATTACTTCAGCTCTTAAATTGAGGAGCTCTGTGTAAGTTACAGTATTTTGCACTTGAATACTGAAGTACAGACTTTTGGCAGGCCCTTTTGGAATAACCTTTCCTAGACCATCTTTCCCTTGTTGGAAGTTAGCTTTCAACCCCTCAGATCTAGCCCAGTTTTTCTACCCTCTAGGGAATAAATGCTGCCTGACAAATCAGGTCATATTTCTGCCTTCCTGGACCATGCTTCTGATAATTACTTGTGCCTGCTGGGCTAATGACATTTTAACTAGTGGAGTTTTTTGTGGATCTGAATAAACTCTCTCTTTTCTGACATAGGCTGATAACTCTTCCACCTACAGCTGACTCATATGAGGGTGCTGGTCTGGATTTACAGCACCATTAGAATGTAAGCAAACCCACCTCATGTCTTCATAGAAGGAGCTGGGAATATCATCAGTATTAAACTTAAGCTTTTAAATCAGTGGAGGGATTTATTTATGCATAGTAGTAAATTAGTCCAAGGCATGATTTTTCAACATTCTGCCTGGCTCTGGGGATGAATTTCCAGACAGACCTGGGAGGTTAATGTCCTCCTTTCAGAAAATGATAAAATCAGTTTTTTAAACATCTTCATAATTTGCTAGCAAAGTTTTGACCATAGTAATATACTCATGAATTTCAGCTCTCTCCTTATAGAAGTCAAATTTACCAATATTTAGTTTTCTCAGATAATTATTTTATTTCGGGGCCTTCAGGTGTGGGATGGCCTTTTGTGGGAACAGTTTGCTCTCAGGAGCTGAATGGGTCTTTTTTAACCTCTGTTTGAGAGTTACCCTTTCTGACAACTCATTTTTCTCACCCAAACCCTTTCTACATTCCACAGTTTTCCTATCCAGCCATTTGTTTGTCCCTCTGAAGGCCTCAGACACTTGATCTATTTCTGCCCATTAGCTGTTCACATTTACTTTAACCTCTGTATTCCCTCTTAAAGTTCAATCTCACTCTTTTCTCTGACTAATTCTGTGAATATTCTGTTGAACCAAATGAAATCACAGGCAATACAGAAGGTAGGATCTTCCTGCAGTATAGAACCTGCTGCCACATCATTAATGATCTGGGCTAAGGGTTTCTTGTGACTGATCAAAATCTTGCCTTCCCCATTTTGACTGGTCAAACCCCTCTGTCTTGCTAGTTAGTTTACAATGAAGGAAGTTACCTCAGTTTTATGTTTCCAATGAATTGGCTGACTCTTATTTTGTGACTGACATTAATCATTTTCCAGTCCAAATTTATCACTGTGTAGGTGCTTAGATGGCTGCTATCAGAGTTACTAATGGCTTGACTAGGTGGGGAAATTTACCAGAACTATAATGATACAGCAGTTGTATGGCTACAGCAGTACTGGTATAATTCTTCCTGTGAACACTTATCCTGGAATAGGAGTGTCCACATGGAAGTGGTACTGATATAGTGTATAGCAGACCTGAGTACTTCATAATCTTTAATGTATTTGTCCTCCTAACATTGGTGCTCCTGAGCTCCAGGCCAATAGAGGGACTGAGAACTACTGGACAAATCTGTCTTTGTAAAAGGAGATAATCATATAAATTAACTCAAGAGCCACTTGTATTTCCCATCAAACTAAGGCCTTGATCCTGCAAACACTCCCATGTATGCATAGCTTTAGTCATGGGAGTAACCACAATGAAGTAAACAGAATATTTTCACACAAAGTTAAGCAGATAAATAAGAGTTCATAGCAGCATGAAACTTTGTCTCTGGTCAAGGATTAAACCAAAGTGACTTCAGATACACACAGGATTTCTATGAGAAAACTTAGTTTTATGCTTCCCAAACTCATGCTGAAGATGATTAAAACCATCAGCTAAATAAACAACCAGTGTGGCCAAGTAGGTAGAGAATGGGACAGGGATGAAAGATTCCAAGGCTAGATGGGATCATCAGAATCAAAGTCTGACCTCTATAGATATAGGCCAGTCTGAATTTTTCTTCATCTTCACCTCCCAGCCATTGCATCTTTTTATACCTTTTGTCTGGTAGATGGAAGAGCTCATTACCAATATTTGTTCTTCTTTACAGACTACGATCAAGTCATCTCTGCACCTTCTCTTTAAACTAAATAATTTGAATTTTTTGACTCACAACAAGCCATTCTCAGCTGCTCACCATGTTCTCAGCAACCTGGATCCTATTCCTGATCTCAGCCTCATTTTCCCTATTTGTAAAATGGGGGTGATGAGTGTAGTGAAGTTTACCGATAAACTCTATATAAGAGATGGATGATTAACTTAAAATGGAAAAGCTTAGGATGTAAGGGTGCATGGGAAGAGCGAACGAAGCTCAGGCTGACTTCCATAAGGACTCTTTCCTGCTGTATTTTGTTTCTAGGTTCCTCATTTGAACCAGAAAGCGTGGAATAACCTGGAGAAATACTGCAGGAGCTTAACAAAGTACAACAAGAATGTATATGTCTGCACTGGCCCACTCTTCCTACCCAGGTACATTCTAGAGCTGGATTGAAATGGATTTTAAAACATGCATCATGCAGAGAAATTAAGATGGCAGACGAATATGACTTGCCTTGTCATGCTCTCATCAGAAAGGTCAGAAATAGTTTTGTACAGCTATTCCGTAAATACTGCTTTAAATACACACACATTTTCCAGGTATGCCCATAGGGATTTTGTGGGCTAGTTCATTATGTTTGGGATTAGTTTATATTTCTTTCAGTTGAATAAACCCCTGAAGGGACACTATCAGGTTAAAAATAATTGAATAGAGGAACTCAGATTACCTGGGTAGGATTGAAATGGAAATAGTTTAACTTTCCATTAGTGCTTGCTTTCTGCACTTAGTTTTGGAACATGACAGTAGCTTATTCATCTTGCTCTGTATTTCATAGTCACTTTTACAGTCTGGGTGTCATCTTCTTCTAGTGCTAGATCTGACTATAGGTGCATTGCCACAGGCTATAATAAAGGACTAATCTGTTTCATTGCATAGTCAGGTATGATCTTTGGCTGCAATGAACCATGTTTCGAGGCATGAAGGACAATCACTTGAACTGAATCAGTTAAACACCAAAATAGATACAATAAAAGGGGTGATGGGGAGCTCTAACCCTAATCCTTGTTTTGCAGTGAGTTCATTCCAGTTTTGTTGCGTATTGTGTATCTCCCAGCTTACTGAGGGTGTAGATCCTGCTTCAGCTCTTGACAAGTTTAAATCAAGAACTGATCTCTTTCTAAAAGAGATACCCAACCTAACCAGAAAATATGGGCTTTATGCAGGAAACACTGGGTGAAATTCTATATCCTGTGTTATGCGAGAGGTCAGACTAGATGGTCATAAGAGCCCCTTCTGGCCTTAGCTACGAATGTATTCATCTAAAGCAATGAAGACACAATCTCTGTCCCGAGGGGTTTGTGCATGAATTCTAGGTAGCAATAACAATCTTCTTCTTTGTGCAGGATGGAGGCTGATGGGAAGATGTACGTCAAGTACCAAGTGATTGGTAAGAACAACGTGGCAGTCCCCACACACTTTTTCAAAGTGCTCATCCTAGAGAAGCTCAGTGGAGAGATTGAGCTGCGCTCCTATGTGATGCCCAACAGCCCCGTGGAGGAGACAATCTCACTCGAACGTTTCCTGGTTCCTATTGAGAGCATTGAGCGGGCCTCTGGCCTGCTGTTTGTTCCTAACATCGTGAAAAGAACAAACAATTTACAGGCCATCACTGCTGGACGCAACAGCTGAACACACCCATCGAATTGATGACAGTGGGGTGAAGTTATCCAGTGAAAGTCCCTTTCGGTACAGTGATTTATCAGGGGTGTGTCTGGGCTCAAATTTAGCCTGCTTCCCCCAGTCTGGGAGCTTTTCATGGGCCTGCATTAATTAATCTGGTTGTCTGTTTCCTGAGGATAGCAAAGATGAATCCTTGTATATTTGTCCCTAAAATGGTTCCTGGAACTTAATAAAAAGTCAGGGCAGTATCTAAAATTGATGACATAGTAATGGTTTTCCATGACTACCTTTATGCTTGGCTCAATGGGCGTCTCTCTAGACCCTGACCATTAAGCCCCCCATCACTACTATATTGACTCAGGTAAGAGGACACCAAAGGAAATGCTCTTGGTGAGCTATATGCTTTCAGAATATGACACAGGAAAGCCACTTGGTTCCCAGGATTAACAATCTTTTTGGGATAGGTGACTTTACCATTCTCCCTATGGAAAAAGCATTTTATACCAGTTTCATTAATTCTCACTGAAAATTCAAAATATGGATTAGTTTCTTAGTGGCACCTAGTACTGTGATGATGCACTTGACTCTTGCAACTATTCTTCTGTTCCTCATTGTTATAGCTGGCAGACTGGACTCTGTCCTTCAAGTAAACAGGTTTTAAGGTTTGTGATTGTAGAATATGGTGACCATATTTTCTGATCCAAAAATAGGGACACATTGGCCACGCTCTTTGACTACATTAGCCTTGCTGATTGACCCCTTAGGCGCTACCCACCTGTCACAGGAAGTCCTGCCCCTCAGGTAGTATTTCTGGGGTCAAGATTGACACACACCCTCTCTAAGAATTCCTCCCACCATCCTCTACCAATGGATTTGGGCCCCATAGGAACCCTCCTCCCATGCAACTATACTGCAATTGCATTAAGCTAGGCCCCAGACCTGGGGTCCCATGACACTACAGTGCTCGGGGTCCAACCTCAATTCAAGATGAGTGAGGATCCAAGGCCTATTACTTTGCAGTGTAGATGCAGCCCCGCTTGACTCAGGGCCCGGGAGTCATCTGGAATTATCCCACAATTTCATGGGACAACTTACTTAGTCCTCTTAACAGTATCCAGGGGGGTGCAAAAGCACTCTCCCATGGTCCCCCAAGTAAGCATGCTCCGGCCAGCCAGGGAAGGCAGGAGCAATGTGCTGCCAGAGCCTCCCTCCCCCATGCTCTGGCTGGGGAAGGTGGGGATGATTTCCCTGCTTACTTGGGAGACCATGGGGGTGCATTCAGACCCTCGTGGTCCAGATTTACAAAAAAAGCACCCCCCACAGAAATCCCTGCGTATGGGCCTGTTACTGGTATCAATTAACTGGTAATGGGAGGGGGCTGGAGCAGCTCCCACCTTGCAGAGGGCCTGCTACAGTCAGGGGTTGCTCTCTGCGCCAGTATCCGTGGGGAGTCCAGCTTACTGTGGACAGGGACTGCGTCGGAGGGAGCTGGCGGTAGCCCCAGTGTGACTTGACATTACCCCATTAACTGATGAATGGGAATTTACATCCCTAATGAGATGTACTGCAACTGCATTTTTTGAAGTTACTTTGCAAAACTATCAAGTGCCTTCCATTTCCACAAGCCATAATGACAATACTGAACTAACTGGCACTTACAGGATGGAGAAAACCATGGACTAGCCCTCCCCACCACTGCTTGAATAGTACATTTCCCCTGGAACTCAGTGGAGCTGGGCTATTTTATATGTAAAGCTACTGAGACATATGTCAATACATGATGGCAATGCCTATATTATGTAAATTATCTACTAATAATTGCCAAATAAGACCACTTCCCAACCTGCTTACAAAGCTAGGATTGGGCCCAAAGCAATCTCTGCTGACATTACCCAAGAAGATCTGGTTAACATTTAGTCACCCTTCAAAAATATGAGCGACCAATCAATAAAAGCCCCAGCACCTGGTAGAGGCAGTCTTTGAAGAAAATTGGAGAGTCTTTGAATTGCCTTCTTCTGAGGTGGGGTCTTTAGCATAGGTTTCACTTCACTTTGTGTGTCAGAACTCAGAAATGCATTGTCATAGCTAACTCCATTCAGGTCTAGGGAACTTGCAGCCCAAAGCCAGAACAACAAATCCCTTGAATCTGGAAGTCAAAACATCTCATCTCTTCACAGAGCGCACAAAGAGCTTGTTTACCCAGACACACAAGTCATGACAACCCCTCTGTAGTGAGAGCATACATCCTGCCTCAGTGGATGTGCCAATCACATGGCATGTTAACACAGTTTAAATCATCAAATGCTTGGGTGAGGAAGACTCACAGTCTGTCCATCATCCACATTGGAGTGACATGGTGATTTCACTGCTGTGGTAACAGAGCCAATCTCTCTGTGGGCTCTTGGAACCCGGGTGTGTCTGCTGGGAAGGAAGAGGCCAGGGCTGCCTCTATTGCAATGGGTCTCAAACTTTTTTGGCTCATGGGCCATGTAAACCTTGCTGCAGACCACCAGTTGCTAATGGAAACTCACTGTTAATTACACCTGAGCCATTTTGCTAGTGCTGCAGCTTGGCAGAATGGTTTAATTTAAATTATTAAACAGATTAAGCATTTTAAATAAAGTAAACTATTAATTTATGTCCAACACAAAAGGTTTCAATGTTTTCTTTATGGCAGGGGTGGAGAACCTTATTTTGGGTCGGGGGTCACTGACCCACAGAAAAATCAGTTGGAGACCACATAAGTGAGAAGCAAAAAAACTCCTCCAAATCCCCCCAAACCCTCACTGACATGGCCCGAGACACCTCTTCTGGCACGCCGGTCCCCACAGGGTGAGGGGAAGGGACAGGGAGGACTGAGGTTCAGGGCTTCCCATAGGCCAGATTTATTTTTCTGGGGTTTCAGAGTTAGTTGATTTTGTGGATCCCCTTAGGCTCCGGGGTGGGGACAAAAATGGGGGGTTCAGTGTGCGGGACAGGGCTGCCAGTGAGTGGGATAGGGGGTAGGATTTGGGAGGGAGGTGGGGTCCAGAAGGGGAAGAGGTTGCAAGATCTGGGTGGGAGATAGGGTGCAGAAGCAGGCTGGGCGTAGGGAGCTTGAAGCAGGTTGGCTGGCCAGCCAGTGGGTTGCCCTGCAGTGTTTGGGGAGTGGTTTCAGGCTTTTCCCTCCCTGCAGGTCCCAACCCTAATTTTTAATACAAGGAAACAAACACTCCTGTCCTGCCTGGGGCAGGCAACAACCACCCTCAGTGCAAGCCCGGCGCTAAACATGCAAATGCCTAATGCCATGCAGCACCCACATTAGTGCAGGGAGCTGGCTCCAGCCCACACCCAAAAAGCATCAGACACTTGCATGCCCCAATCACAAGTGGCTCAGCACAGCTTAGAGCGAGGCCGCATGTTACATGGCCTCTTTTTCTAGTTAATGGCCCCACCTGTAGAAAGGGGTGGGACTTTAGCCCCTGCCCTTTGACTGGCACGTTTTGACTGTTCAAATGTGCTAATGTCACAGCGCCCTACACCCTCCTCACAGAGCAGCAGTTCCCATGGCATCCACAGCATCCCCAGATTTAGGGTATCTGGTGCAGGAGGCTGAGGCACTGGTGAGCATAGTGCAGGGGTGCTCGGGCTGCACGGGGGGAGGGGGGAAAGATGGTGCTGGCTCACAGGAAAGATGCTGCTCACACAGGACAGGACCATTGGGGGAGGGGGCATGTTCGCATCTCACACACCCTGTGTATGGGCCTTTAAATCCAGGACATTTCATTACTTGATGGGGACACTGGGACGGAGTTTAAAAATAGGGACTGTCCTGGAAAAACCAGGCTGCATGGTCAGTGTAGGACGGTATAGAGCCAACTGTCCTCAGGCTAGCTCACTGCTTACTTACAAGGGAGGTTATCACTGAAATTCCATCCTTGGTAGCTTAAATGTCCATGACCGGGGCAGCTGACAGACTTGCAGGACCCATGGGCAATATGGGTGGGGGCCTGGCTCCATGCTCCTGGAAGGGGCAGGGCTGGAGGCAGTGAGCCCTCAGCACCGGCCAGAGCATGCTGCACTGTGTCCCCCACCCCAAGCCAGCCTTCAACACTGCCTGGTGTGTGCCATGCGGGGCTCCAGCAGCAATTTAAAGGTACCAGGGCTCCTGGACTCTGCTACAGAGGCAACGGTTGAGCCCTGGGGCAAGTTGCTCCCTTTATCCCACCCAGGTCTGACCATGATTCTAAAGGACACTCCACTTCCTGTAAGCAAGTTAATGTATAATGGCAACAAAGTCTTGCTAAAAAACATTAGGCTTGATCCTAACCTACTCCTTTTCTCAGGAGGTGAAGCAGCCATAGTATTCACATCCCATTTACATAAAGGAGTTAGGTAATACCGGTACAGGAGAGAAAAGAAACTACTGTGTGCTGGGTTGCACACCTACCGTAGCTGGCTCAACAGCACCATTGCTGCTTACAAAAAAGGATGAAGTTTTAACACTGGTGAAAGACACTTAGCCTAAGTCTATGCTGGTGCTTTACTGTGCTGTAACTTTCTGGCTTAGGTGTGAAAAAACACCCCTGGAGCACGGCAAGTTGAAGTGTTGTAAAGTGCCAGCATAAGCTGGGCAAGGCTCCTGGTTGAGGCCACACTTTCACTTTTAATTTCAGAAGTGTGGACACGGCCTTAAATGAGGTGCGGGTAGGGTACAACCAGGTGGTTAGTTGAGATGCTTATGTTCACTTAAGCCCCAGGCACTTGTTGCATTGCTAGCTCTCTAGAAATATACACTCACCTCCTTTGTTGGGGGTACTTAATGCGGTATGTCAGTTTAAATGGCTGTGTTACTGATCAGCCTTGCAGCAAGAGAGCAGCTCTTCAGGCAGATAGGATGACTTGAAAAAGGGGCCCCTCCTCGCCCCAGAAGTTACACAGCCCCATGTTGCATCAGTTAATCTGTACACATTGTGGAGCTGCCCCACAGGTATCCAGAAGCACTTGACCTAAGTATTACTCTTGAACCATCCAAAATGCTCATTAGCAACCTGGACCATGCTCCTTGAAGGTGCTGAGCCAACAGCTCCTAGGGCTTTCAGCAGGCACTCAATGCCTTTCCAGAGAAGTTCCCTAACTCTCTGCCTTAAACCCCAATGACACCGTTCCTGATTTTAAAGAGTCCAGTGCACTATATGTGACAGCTTTATATTTTCTAGGCTCTCTCTTGGTGTTGTGTGATCCATTGACAGGCTTCCCATGCTGACGTGAGGCAGCAGCCAGCTCCACTTACCAACACTGCTTGAGCTTGAGCTAGTGAGCATGTCTCTTCCATCCCCCCTTCCCCTTCCCGCCCCCAGTAGCCCCGGCCAGTTAGTCACAATGCTTAATCTCAGTCTCAAGTGAGAGTCAATTAAAAAGCTGTAGCCATTCTGGTAAGAGTACTGGGCTTTTCTTGATCACAAAGAGGTGGAGTTAGGCAGGCTGCTCTGCGGACTCAGCCATCACCCTCAGCAGCTCTTCCTAAGTGTAGGGTTAGCATAACTTGGAATGAGCCATCTGACAAGGAAGGTGCTTCCACAGGTGAAAGCAAGAGACAGTAGCTTTAGGTCCATAGATCAGCAGTTTTTTTCCTCTTCAGCTACCAAGAACTTTCCTCACAGCCTCGTCAATACGGGGTCTCAGTACAGACAGAGATATTAGTATGGCTTCCTGGAACCAAAAGCAGAAAGTAAGATCAGATCCACTGCTCCAAGGAGGGCACTTCAAAATTTCACATCACTGACTACAAATCAGGTTAATAACTGCCTGCAGAAGGGCAGGAGTGGGATTCATGTGCTTGTACCTCTGGCAGACAGGTCTGCCACTGGGCACAGAACTACTATACTAGCCCAGCCAAATTCACAGCTAGATTTTTAAACTTCAAATAATTTCATTACTAAAGGATATTTTATAAGCTCTTTAGGCCCAGAATCTTTTGCTTGAGATTTGTACTGGACCTATCAAAGGGGACTCCTTCATGCCGCACCACCACAAATAATAGTTTAAACTGGGAGATATTAATGCCGTACTTAAAGATCTGTTAGAGCAGGTATTTTAGAAAGACCTCTGGTGTAACTGGAGGTAGAGTGCACTACCTCACCAGTTACTTCAAGCTGGGAGATCGCATCTCCCTCCTGAGGATCAAGCTACCATCCAGGTGTGATGCATCATGCTACAGCCACATGACATACCTCTGTCCTGATGGTGCGACTGCCCTGGATGGGACACGTGTTCAGGTAAAGGTCAAACAAGACGCTTGGGTCGGTGTTCTCCAGGTTTGGGTCAGCATCCACACCAGCCTCCAGGCCTTGGAGACCTCCAAATACTATGAGGGCGTGGCTAGAAGAGAGTAGATACGAAAGGTTTATAGGATAGGGAAGACTGGATTCCATCAGCAGTACCAGGTCAGAAGAAGCTACAGCATTGCCCCTGCAATCTTTAACACCACAACTTACCTCTTATGCTAAGTGTTTTCATCAGTAGCCCTCAACGTGCTTTACAAAAGAGGTCAAATGTCACCATCCTCAATTGTACAGATGGAGAAATGGCAGCAGAGAGATGAAGTGATTTGACCAAGGTCAACTAGTAGGCTAGCTGGCAGAGCCTTCAACACAATTTGGTGAATGCCAGCAAAAGTAGTGAATTTGGTGAATGCTACCGTAGTGAAGCCGCTTCCCCGGGAGCTGGCTGAGTGTAACCAATACCATTAACTTATAAGCATCAGCTTATCAGATAAACAGTAAAGTCTGTTACCCTCTAACATCCCTAATACAGGCATCTTGCTCCTGGGGCTGGTTTGCCAGCAAAGGGATGGGTTGAGCAGCAAGGAACCAGTCCTCTTACCTGAAGGAAGGGAGAGTTGCTTGGTCCACACAGGTCCCTCGCTCAGAGGTCCCAATAGAGAGATCATAGCCTTCTTTAAAAGGGCATTCGGCAAAAACAGCACCTAAGAAATTATTCACCCAAAGGTTAGTAATGAGAATTGCCTCTACCACTTCCTATATTTTAGTGACATCTAGAAGCAGTACTATTAATTAGCATCCAGTGTAACAAATTACTCATCTTTTTCACCAAGGTATTTCCAAATTCCATTATTAGAATGGCCATCCTGAGTCAGACCATAGGTCCAGCTAGCTCAGAATCCTGTTTTCCAACAACGACCAATCCAGGTACCCCAGAAGGATTGAAAAGAACAGGTAATTGTAGTAAGAAGAGGGCCTGAAACAAAAGCCCATGTAGCACAGGCCTGGTCTGAGGCCTAGCTAACAATAGACCAAACATGGCTAACATAAAGCAAACCTAAGCTGTGAGCTAGAGGCAGGTACCTGCTCACAGAACTTGGCACGAACAGGGCTAAGAATGCAAAACACCAATTGGTAATAGGTCCAGGTGTAGAACAGTAATTGGTACTGGTCATAAGTTGAAAGGACATTCCAAAAGGACAGTAACACTAAATAGTGATAGAAATGTAGCTGTGTTAGTCTGGGGTAGTTGAAGCAAAATGCAGGACAATGTAGCACTTTAAAGACTAACAAGATGGTTTATTAGATGATGAGCTTTCGTGGGCCAGACCCACTTCCTCAGATCAAATAGTGGAAGAAAGTAGTCACAACCATATATACCAAAGGATACAATTAAAAAAAAGAACAAATATGAAAAGGACAAATCACATTGCAGAACAGAAGGAGGAGGCGGGGGGGTGGGAAGGGGGAGGAAGGAAGGTAAGTGTCTGTGAATTGATGATATTAGAGGTAGGGAGAGTGGGATGTTTGTGAGTTAATGGTATTACAGGTGATAATTGGGGAAACTGTCTTGATAATGGGTGAGAAAGTTCAAAGACTTGTTAAGTCCCTGGTGGTAAGTGTCGAATTTTAACAGCTAAAGACACTAAAAAAGACCTTAGTACCCCCACACTCCCCATAGATACCGACCCAGGTTCAAGAAAGGGTCTAAAATGACAGCATGATGGATAGAGATGGTCTAATCAAACCATGAGTTTCAGGGTGATGGGTGGTATCTAAGTAGCGTCAGAGGTGGTAACCTGACAACATCAAGAGCGATGTGTAACTTGTTTATACCTGTATATAAAGTGGTATCTTGGAGGGACAGTCTTTGTCCAGCCAAACGAGCAGTGGGACTTCCCGCTGATTGAGCAGAGTCCATTGTTACGGGGTACTTGTGTGGAGTGGTTCGGTAGAGGCTCCTGACAACTATTACTGTACTTTGCTTAACAATATACCTGGCCAGGCGCCTTTGATCCTTATCTGAGCAATGGCCTTTAGTGGCTCTCTCGGAGTCTACTGTGTTAACTAATTGCACAAGTCAACACAGCACACATGATTGAGCACACACACATGCAGCCTTCTGGTTATCATCACTGACAGAGCAGGAGACTTCTCAGGACACCACAACAGTAAATCCTGACCTTCTACACTGGTGACCCTATTACAGTAACCATCAAGCGATCCACCCCTCAACCCCCTGTCGCCTATTCCCAGCTTCTGGTAAATACGCTAGGGACACCATTGCAGCAGAATGACACTAATTCCTCATAGAATCATAGAATACTAGGTCTGGAAGGGACCTCGAGAGGTCATCGAGTCCAGTCCCCTGCCCTCATGGTAGGACCAAATACTGTCTAGACCATCCTTGACAGACATTTATCTTACCTACTCTTAAATATCTCCAGAGATGGAGATTCCACAACCTCCCTAGGCAATTTATTCCAGTGTTTGACCACCCTGAAAGTTAGGAACTTTTTCCTAACATCCAACCTAAACCTCTCTTGCTGCAGTTTAAGCCCATTGCTTCTTGATCTATCCCCAGAGGCCAAGATGAACAAGTTTTCTCCCTCCTCCTCATGACACTCTTTTAGATACCTGAAAACTGCTATCATGTCCTCCCTCAATCTTCTCTTTTCTAAACTAAACAAACCCAGTTCCTTCAGCCTGCCATCACAGGTCATGTTCTCTAGACCTTTAATCATGCTTGTTGCTCTTCTCTGGACCCTCTCCAATTTCTCCACACCTTTCTTGAAATGCAGTGCTCAGAATTGGACAGAATACTCCAACTGAGGCCTAACCAGCACAAAGCAGAGTGGAAGAATGACTTCTCGTGTCTTGCTCACAACACACTTGTTAATGCATCTCAGAATCATGTTTGCTTTTTTTGCAACAGCATCACACTGTTGATTCATATTGAGCTTGTGGCCCACTATAACCCCTAGATCCCTTTCTGCCATACTCCTTCCTAGTTAGTCGCTTCCCATTCTGTATGTGTGAAACTGATTGTTCCTTCCTAAGTGGAGCACTTTGCATTTGTCTTTTTTAACTTCATCCTGTTTACCTCAGACCATTCCTCCAATTTATCCAGGTCATTTTGAATTATGACCCTATCCTCCAGATTAGTCGCAACCCCTTCCAGCTTGGTATCATCTGCAAACTTAATAAGTGTACTTTCAATGCCAGTATCCAAATCGTCGATGAAGATACTGAACAGAGCCAGTCCCAAAACAGACCCCTGCGGAACCCCACTTGTTATACCTTTCCAGCAGGATTGAGAATCATTAATAACTACTCTCTGAGTACGGTTATCCAGCCAGTTATGCACCCACCTTATAGTAGCCCCATCTAAGTTGTATTTGCCTAGTTTATTGATAAGAATATAATGCGAGACTGTATCGAATGCCTTACTAAAGTCTAGGTATACCACATCCACCGTTTCTCCCTTATCCACAAGACTCGTTATCCTATCAAAGCTATCAGATTGGTTTGACATGATTTGTTCTTTACAAATCCATGCTGGCTGTTCCCTATCACCTTACCACCTTCCAAGTGTTTGCAGATGATTTCCTTAATTACTTGCTCCATTACCTTCCCTGGCACAGAAGTTAAACTAACTGGTCTGTAGGTTTCTGGATTGTTCTTATTCCCCTTTTTATAGATGGGCACTATATTTGCCCTTTTCCAGTCCTCTTTCGACCTTAGTATCGTTCCCTGAAAAATCACTGACTCTTCCACCAAATGCTGAACCAGCCCAAAGCTGGGATATCCGCTAGGACTCACTCACGGGCTAAGGGAGCAGTAGGAGATTATAATAGGGTTCATTAAGACTATAACAGAGCTCAAAAAGAGAACTAAATACATTCATGGAGGATTGATGGCTATTAGCCAGGATGGGCAGGGATGGTTTCCCTAGCCTCTGCCTGCCAAAAGATGGGAATGGGAAACAGGAGATGGATTACTTGATGAAGAACTTGTTGGCTGCGTCTAGACTAGCAAGATTTTGCACAAAAGCAGCCATTTTGCACAAAATCTTGCCACCAGTCTACACTGGCCGTGAGTATTTGCGCAAGAACACTGACTTTATACTGTACAAAATCAGTGGTTCTTGCACAAATACCCTGATGCTCCCGCTCAGGGATAAGCCCTCTTGAGCAAGTATTCTTGCGCAAAAGGGCCAGTGTAGACAGCCAAGGTAATTTCTTGCACAAGAAAGCCCGATGGCTAAAATGGCCATCGGACCTTTCTTGCGCAAGGGAGCATCTACACTGGCATTGATGCTTTTGCGCAAAAGCAAATCTTTTGCGCAAAGGCACATGCCAGTGTAGACGCTCTCTAGCGCAAATACTTTTAACGGAAAAGCTTTTCCGTTAAAAGCATTTGCGCAAAATCATGCCAGTCTAGACACAGCCGTTCTGTTTATTGCCTCTGAGGAACCTGGCACTGGCCACTGTCAGAAGTTAGGATCCTGGGCTGACCCATTATGGCTGTTCTTATGGAGGGCATGGTACCTGCCATATTCAAGTCTCATACTTCAGAAGTGGCTCTACAGGAATCTTTTAAATTCAACAACCTGGTCTGCCCAGGAAGTTCCCACAGATCAGCAAGGGAAGGTGGAAGAATTACTACTACTCTTAGGAAACTGTGACATCTGGGCTATTGGGGCTTATGGGTGGGAATGCATAGCTAATCAGGATAGGTGCAGAGCATCAGCTCTTGCCTGCATTACACTTCGACCACTGTTAGTTTCTCTTTTCAAAAGTCAAATTCTGTGTCATTCCTCATCTTCTGCATCCACAAAGAGTGAAGATACTAACTCCAGGTAGCAGAGTAAGTAAGGTAAGTACAGGCTCATTACCATACAACCCTTCCTTCCATCACTGGAAGCCCTATATAGACAAGGAAACTGAAATAGAAAATACCCATGTAATCATGGACCCCAAGAAAAGGGAAGATTTAAAGGAAACAAGCACCTGGCTTGTGCTGCAGTTTTGCAACCAATATGGCTATAATCTGCATAAGTGTGTATGTAGAACTCGGTAAGGATGAACCTGGCTACTGCTGCCCTGGTCTGGCAGGTAAGGGACAGAATGTGGTGTTAATACTTACTGAGGCAGGAGGCTAAGCGGACATTGTAACCCCAGTACAGGCCAGACACAGTCCGTGGATGGTTAGAGGACACTACGGTGCCTTTCTGTATTTTACTGTCTGAAAACAAAGCCCATGGGTTAGCACAGCAAGTTACAGTTCTTCAGACTTTGCTGGAAATCAATCAGAAACCCCTGGCCATGTTTGAAAGGCTCTTCACTAGGACATAATCAAGCTCAACCCATTAAATTATAATTATATTATATTTTATTATATAAAGGCTGTAAGAGTTTAGTCTATTCAGCACTTTCTCTACATTGATGAAACTCAAAACATATCCTAAATATTAAGAGACTAGATAAGAAACTAACTCATAAAGGAAGGAGTATGGGGCTGGGTATTATTCACTGTATCTGAGTATGATTCCTGAACATGTTTAAAGACATCTTGTATTTGCCACATGGCATTGCCCCAAGGCTGAGGGATTTTAAAGCAAAGACTAGCTTCTGCAGGATGAAAGCTGTTCTACAAATCAAACTGGTAATACTGCTCGTCTAGCCTCGGCAGAAGTGGGATGGCAATGGATTACCTGGATTCTGCTGTTTGTCCAGTTGAACAGTGACTCGAAGACCAGATTCTAGCTGTTTGTCTATCTGTACCTCCTGCAATAATAGAACATCAGCACAAAGGGTTTTAGACACAAGGACACCATGGACAGGAAAGCTACAGATGACAAGCAAAAAAGATCACTTTGGGGAAAGCAAACAACACTATTAGCTAGACATGTGCTTATGTACCCATGTACTGTTCATGGATAGGCGCCTAGGCCAGGAGCGGGCAATAATTTGGAAAGTGGTCGAGGGCAGCACTCTTCCATGATATTAATGAAGGAAGTGTGGGGTCTGGAAAGGCGGTTGGGTGTAGAAGGGAGCTTGGGGTAAGGGAAGGAGTTTGGGTGAAGGAGACAGTTGGGACTAAGGATGTTAAATTGCGGTTAATTGACTAGTCGAGTAGTCGATGGAATTTCCATCGACTACTCGATAAACACGTCTGCATTCCTCCTTTGAAATGTATAAGAGCCCCAGCTGGGGAATGCAGAATACTGCGTGTAGCCCAGGGCCAGAGGGAAGTCCCTCCGATTCCGGGCTGCATGCAAGTGTGCCTGCTTTGAAATGTACAAGACTACCCAGCTGATCCCAGGGTCTGCTGAAATGCCGCAGGGATCCACAGTTCAGCTGTGAGTTTCAAAGGGGCCACGCCACACAGCTGAGCCTGGGATCATCTGTGTGGCTGCCCCTTCTAAACACTGAAGCAGCGTTCAAAGGGGCAGCGCCACACACCTGATCCTTCACGTTTCAAAAGGGCTGCGCCGCACAGCCGAGCCCAGGATCACCTGTGCAGCTGCCCCTTCTAAACACCAAAGCAGCGTTTCAGAGGGGCAGTGCCATGGAGCCGGGGTCAGCTGTGTGGTGACTGCCCCTTTGAAACACTGCCTTGGGATTTCAAAGCAGCAGCGCCACACAGCTGATCTCTGGCTCAGCTGTGCAGTGCTGCCGCTTTGAAGTAACCCTTGTTCTCTATGCTACCTCTTTCTGATAGAGGCAGCAAGCGGGGGGCAAGAGGAATCGACTAGTTGACTATCGGATAAGCATTTGCTTATTGGATAGTCGATTAGTCCCTAACATCCTTAGTTGGGACCTGGGGCACTGGACTGGGGTGCCGGGGGTTGAATTGTGACTAGGGCAGGGAATTGGGGTACAGGAAGGGGCTCAGGGATTTGGGTTGTGAGCTAGGGCAGGAGGGGAGACTGTGATCTGGGGCAGGGGATATGGGTACATGGAGTAGGGGGCAGAGGGTTGGTGAAGGGAGAGAACGGGGTGCCAGAAGCAGGCTCTGGCTAGAAGACTTCCTGAAGTCAGCTGTTCCTCAATCAGCCTCCCTGCCTGCCAGTGTTCCCTCTAAGCTGTCCCACAGCACAGCTTCACAAGTGATTAATCAGCCCTTCCCAGTAAGACAGCTCCATGCATGGAGCCCTGAGCCACTGATTGAGCAAGGCTGATTAATCACCTGTGAAGCTGTGTTACCCTGCAGCTTAGAGGGAACACTGCTGCCTGCCCCGCCCCACCCCAGCACAGGCAGCAGCGATGTGCTCCAGAGCCCCCTATGCTTCATGGCTGCCTGTTATTGAAACAGGCAGTTCCAACTGGCTGGTTTCTGGCCAGAAACTGGCCAATGGGATTGTGCTGGGGGATGGAGCAGCTCCTAAGCCCCCCCCCCACCCCGACCAGGACTCAGTTTTTAAAGAAAACCTGCCCCACAGTCGTGTTTCTGAGCAGCATCAGGTGGAGTGAGGTGTGCATGGGGCTCCCTGCAGCATCCATAGGCTGTATCCAGTGGTTTGACAGGTCAGATCCGGCCTACTGGCTGTATTTTGCACAGGCCTGTCCTAGGCTAATTGGTCAGTCCTCACGGTTACATGCATCTCCCCGCCCCACGGCTGCAGCAGTGGAGGGGTAGGGGCAGAACCAGCGCTCCTTTATACAGAGGCAGCAGTGCAGGAGATAGAGGGGGTAGGTGGGAGCTGGTGCTCTTGGGAAGCCAGCTTAAAAGCCGGCTCCGTGCAAGCACTGGCTCCCACCTGCCCCACCCCCCCACGTGTAAACTGAACATGTCAGTGGTTACATGTTTACAGAAATAAAAGCATTTTAACATCCCTACTATCAGCCAAGACCGTAAGTTCCACCACTGAGCTGCCCGTTGTGCAGTTAGATGCCACGCTGTGTAGCGGGGAATGGACTATATGAAACCTGCAGCCCTCCAGGGCACTTGTTTGGCCTAGAGTTCAATGTGCAGGACAACAGAATAAGTAAAGAGTTAAAAACAACAAATGGTCTGGTAGCACTTTAGAGACTAACAAACTATGTAGATGGTATCATGAGCTTTCGTGGGCACAGCCCACAAGTCAGACAAATAGTAATTGGAAGAGTTTGACCTGATGCAGGATACTAAAGGACACTGTCATTTCTACCAGGACCCAGCAGAGGGTGCTATAAACAGAAACCCTGATCACAGAGAAGAGACTGAATTAAATAGACAAGGGGACCAGGACTGATCGCTAGAAACTCCCGTGGGATGTGGCCCTTCACGGAACACACTGGTAGCTTAATTTGCCATCCTAATCTGATTGTATTTGGCCTTGAAAGGAGTGATTGATAAACTAAAACTCCTTCAAGTCAGTTATTCTTTTTGAGGGGGGGAGGGGGAAGACAGACCTTACCTTCCTCATCCCACAATTAACAAAGGAGCCTTTGCCTGGCTTGGTGGGCCGGGCTAACACTACTCCTTCCCGGTACTCTGATTCCTCATCTATCCGCACATGATGAGGGCTGTCCAATGGGTTCAGGAGCCCTGAAACAGTACAGAGAAAAGTGGGGGAAAAGGGAGGGAGAGATGTTGAAGCACAGATTGCATCTGGAGGCAGATTATAAAGCGATTAATCCTGTTTCTCCAGTCCCCACCCCTACACTTGTCGCTCCCTCCCCACACTGATGAAAAGCCTTGAAATGGTCCCTCAGCACACTCGGGCAGAGAAGCATCCCAGTTAGGATGAGGACCAGACATTTACTCTCTCAGACAGGGAAAAGCTTTAGTAACTGCCACTCCACACAGACCATAAGAGCACTAAGGTTGCATTACACTGGAATGGCAAGCAGGCTGCCCAGCTAAGTGAGCACGTATGCGGAATGGTGGGAACCCCATGTCTATTTACTTCACCAGAGGGAGGGAAGGCTGGTGTCTTAGGGACTGGTATCAAGGAAATATAATCACATCCTTACCTGCAAACTGCAGATCCTGATGTTTTGGGAAAAATGATTTTCTCAGGTATCTGTTCAGAGAGAGATTCAAATCTCAAAATTGTAACAAGCTTCTTTCAGGCTTCATTTTCATTTCAGATTTCCAGCTTTAATCAAGAAATCTGCCCTGTGGCACCACATACCTTGGAAGGCTAAAGCTACCATGAAACATAATTGGGGAATTATTAATTCTGCACACTCCTGCAGCTCTTTCAGATGCTAAGATCTTTTATTTCATTGGAGTTTGGGTCTGAATTCTAAGTAGAAATCACTGCTCCTCTGGCTCTCATGAGCTCTGATGCTGGCATCCCAGCACTGGTAATGCATAGCTGTCCTTTTCCCCTAGGCAGACCTTATTCTTCAGTGCACTAATGGAGTACCTGGACTCTAGCTTGTGAACACAAATGAATCAGAATAGAATTTATCCTCAGATGGCCCAATACAGGAGGAAAAAAAACCCCATGAATGTTGACCCTCTGCTATTCAACACCTGCTCCTGCAATCTTTGACATGTGTTGCATAATGCCACGTTAATAAGCTACAACATGAAACTACTACAGAATCTGTGTGGTATGCAAAGCTATCACATTGGTCTTACTGAGGACACTCCAAATATTGCAGAATCCGAGCCAGCTGTACACAGGCCTGTCCTTTCTTTCCAATCCCGTCAAACTGCCCTTCCACAGTCCTGAAAGAGAACAAACACAGTTTGTGATCTTCCAAGACATTTACTCAGCCTCTAGAACAAGTAGATGTACATAAGAGACTCACCCCATTTCTATTAAAGAGTATACCACTAGAAACAGGATTGGGATATAGAGCCCCTCACCCTTGTTGCCAGTTGAAATCTGACCCAGGTCAGAAAAGATCATACATTATAGCAGCCATCACATGCTAAATGGTCTGTGAAAGGAGTGATATTGGACCAAGTTCTGACCGGCTGGTTGTTGGTCACACAATCACCGTAACTGGTATCCTTATTAATAATCTCTAGGCCGATAACTGGATGGGCCATGAAGCATGATTACAGATGGGCCATCCCGGTTCAAGGGGGGGAAAAACTGTAGGAAAGAATGAAATTCTGCTGCCTGGTCTGTGCAAGGGGTAAAGAGTGACTGTTAGTTTCCAGGGCTGTTGAGATAGCACCTTTTCTCAGCACAACAACATTTCTTCCAGTAAACCTGCATGCATTGTTGTGCTAGCTGTGTCAGTGCCAGGATATCAGACACACAAGGAGAGTGAGGCAATATCTTTCATTGGGCCAACTTCTCTTGGGGAGAGAGACAAGCTTTCAAGCTTACAGAGTTCTTCTTCAGGTTCCTGTAAATCTAATGTGTTGCATACTGGTGAGATCCAAGCACTTCACAGTTTACATGAAACCTACTTGCTCTTATGGGACTTAAGTATCCTACGGAACCAAGCTATCTCTTAGTGTATATATATATATATATATATATAGTGTCCAAATTTGCTCCAATAATTGTGCATTTTTACCTTTATCACAAACTAACTATAAATCAGGCACTGAGCTATTTTATGCCTTGTCACTTACTCTGTACAGTCCAGTATAGGGATGTGAACGACTAGTCTATCAGAAAGAGGCAGAGGTGGGGGGAGGGGAAATGGGGTGGGAAGAGGAGGGAGTGCTTCAAAGTGGCAGTGCCACATGGGACACAGGGTCAGCTGAGGACTCCCCCATTGACTTCGGGCTTCATGCGGCGCTGCCACTTTGTAACACTGTGGGAAGCACGGGGCCAATGGGGGATTGTTTGAGTCCCCTGCTGGCCTCTTGCTCCCCAAAGCGCTTTCACCACTGAAGTGTAGCAACAGGCCACGAGGACACAGAACTGCAGGTTCTCTCTGTCAAAAGGGTTGTCTGGTGAGTTCTCCCTCATAAGTCTTTTCCATGTGTGCGTGGCATTAGGGGGCAGCCGTGGCTGTTTCTCAAGCACTGAAATGAACTACTAGGTTGGATGGCTCTAGAAGGTGGTTAATAGCCATTTTGCACTGAGCCCACAGAAGCAGCATCACCTGATAACGATTTGGTGGTCTGCAGAATGAATTGGTGCTGTGTACACTAGAGATGTAAGAGTGTAGATTTTTAAATGAGTAACTGATAAGGGGCAGCAGGTGCATGCCAGGAGTTGGCTGCTGCCCTGTGTGGAGGCACCCTTATCGACTATTCGATTAATCATTGGTTCCCAATTTTATTTGGCCATGGAACCTTTTGAATTGAAAAGAATTTTGTGGAATTCCTGATTGACTGCGCGGAACCCCTGACTAACTGCGTGCACAGCGCTGAGTAGTGACATCATCGTCCCTACTCTCTGGCTAAGCTGGCATTACACAGGGACACTTATCGTGGCAAACACAAATGAAAATTGTTTACAATAAAATTCATAAATGAATGAAAATTCCATTCCATTACAATAATTCAGGCTGTAATGCAATTTTCTCACTGAACCCTTATTTTCATTTCACAGAAGCCCATTTGGGAAACCCAGGATTAGCTGATTAATCGAAATTTAACATCTCTAGTCCGGTAGTTATAAGGAACCTTAATTTGAATGGATTTGGTGCTTCTGAAAGATGGCCAAGTGTCAGTCTCCAGAGCCATCCTCCCATAGACTGGAAGTGTTCATCTAGTCTTTTGGCTTTTTTTGTTGAAACTTCAAACAAAAACACAAATTATTTAAACAAATGCACCTCTCTGCTAGCAAGCATATACTAGGAATGTTAAAATGCAAGTAACTGCCTAACTTTGTAACCGCTGAAAAATTTACACTGTTACACGCACCTGCAGTGCAAGGCAGCAGCCAGCTCGCCAGTTACACCGGCTGCTCTCTGTACGAGAGGCAGAAACACAGGGCGGCAGCCAACTCCTGGTATGCACTGGCTCCCACCTGCTGCCCCTTATCAGTTACTCATTTAAAAATCTACACTCTTTGTGACGGACCGGCCGTGTCTGGGCACAGCTGAGGGCATCCGCTCAGGGCGAATTGCTCAAATCCGGGGCTTCTTACAGCCCTCTTGACTGGTGACCTCTCCAAACAGGCCACAAACCAGTCCCACAGAGCGCTTCAGCTGCCTGCCTGAAGCCTCCCGAGCAAAACCCCTCCGGCACCCCAGCAATATCCGTGCCCCAGATGGCCCCGGGCCTCATACACCGGTGGGGGGTCCTAGCACCCAATCCCACCTACCCCAAACAAGTTCTGTCCGGTTCCAAGAAACCAGCCACAGATCCCTGGTCAATTTACCCTCTGGACCTTACCACAAATCACGCTGGGCCAATCCTTTAGAATCTATATCTAAAGGTTTATTATTACAAGAAAGAAAAGCCTGAGAGTAAGGTTATTAAAGTACAGTACGTTACATGCACCGAATCTCCCAGTTCTCGATGCAGGCTCTAGCAGAGATGTTGCAGCTGCTGGTTAAAAGTCCTTATTGCACATCCTAGGTCAGGATGGGTTCACAGGTCTTCCAGGCTCTTCAATCCCTGCAGTGCTGCCTCTGGGATGAAGTGCTGAGCTGAGAACAAAATGGCATCGACCACATGGCCTCTTTATACCCCCTTCCTGGCCTCTTCTGGTATGCAGCAAGTCACCTGGTCAGAGGCCAATCTCTATGTTTCCTGCTGGCTGCCCTCAGGTGACAAATCCCATTCTTTGGGTGTGTCCATAGCCTATTGAGAGTCATTGTTCCACAGGGCTTTGCTACTCAGCCTGTCCATAGCCATGCTTAACCACATTCACAGAAATATTCAGCTTCCACACAGATTACAGATTCCTACCTACACACACAGACATTATACACTCACATAAATAGCGTACATAAGATCAACAAACAATAATCTCCCATTCAATACCCCACATGGCTCCCCCCACACCAATTTCTGGGGCCAACACCCCCACCTAGGGGTGCAGCAGCGATCTGGCTGCTTCCCTCCAATTCAGCAACGTGACACTCTTACATCTCTAGTGTACACAGCACCAATTCATTCTGCAGACCACCAAATCGTTATCAGGTGATGCTGCTTCTGTGGGCTCAGTGCAAAATGGCTATTAACCACCTTCTAGAGCCATCCAACCTAGTAGTTCATTTCAGTGCTTGAGAAACAGCCACGGCTGCCCCCTAATGCCACGCACACATGGAAAAGACTTATGAGGGAGAACTCACCAGACAACCCTTTTGACAAGGACAGAGAAAACCTACAGTTCTGTGTCCTGGTGGCCTTCATTTGAGATGAGGTTCACAGAAACTGGAAACACAGAGAGGTTTTTCATGGAAGACAAAGGATCACCCTTACCTTGAATCTTCTCCTTCCTCATCAAACACCACAATCTCATCCACACAGAAAATGGCACAGGCTCTGGCAATCTGCCCAGCAAGATATGTCCGCAACTCTGGAGACTGTGCATTGTTCAGGATGGAGCCTGGAAGTGCTACGCTAACCGTGTAATGACGTCCTAAAAAACAAGAATGAAATCAGACAGCAGAGCCAGAGTTTTGCCATTCTACTCCCATTTGTGTTGCTAAAGGGACAGCATTGGCTTTTAGTTCTTTCATTTTAAATGTAAGCTCTTCGGGGCAAGGACTGTTCTGTGTTTTCATTGCACCTGGTACTAGGGATGTGAAGGTTTAACTGGTTAACTGATAAGCCCACCCTTCATGGGGGCAGGAGCAGCTCCCTGCCTACTGGGGGCAAGGGCCTGCTCCAGCCCTGTGAGGGGCCCATTGCAGTGACCTAGCTGGAGCAGCCTCTGTCCACAGTAGGCCCAGGCACCCCACAGACAGGAGCTGCTCTGGCCAGGATGTCGGAATAGCTCCTTCCTCGCCCCCTTTTTAATCAGTTAACCAATTAAACAGTATGTTTAACTGGTTAACCAATTAAATGGGATTTTACATTCCTATTCCATTCTGCAAATATAAGATTCCCAAGCACTCCTACATAGTGCCTTTTACAGAGAAAGGGCCCACACCAGCGAACCTGCATTTTGCCATTAGCTTTAATGGGAGCAGAGAGAGCACCAAATATGAAGTGTTCTCAACCAGGGTACACTAGCCCTGGGGATACACAGGTGTCTTCTGGGGGTTACATCAGCACCTCTAGATATTTGCCTAGTTTTACAACAGGATATGCAAAATGCACTAGAGAAGTCAGCACAAACTAAAATTTCACAGTGACTCGTTTATAACTCTGAAAGCAATGTAAGTATAACATTTATATTCTAATTGATTTATTTTATAATTGTACTAGAAAATTTACCTGGCAAACCTGGGTCCACCGTGGACAGAGGCTGATCTGTGGCAGCTAAGGACATTAAAGACTAGTCAACTAGTCGATTATCTAATAAGCAAAAGGTTATTGGGTAGTCCAGTCGACTAGTCAATTTCCCCCCCGCCTTGTTCCCTCTATCAGATACAGTCAGCAAAGGGAGGGAAAAGGGGGTACTTCAAAGGGCAGCACTGCACAGCTGAGCCCAGGCTCAGCTGTGTGGCGCTGCCCCTTTGAAAATGCCAAGGCTGTTTTTCAAAGTGGCACTGTGGAGCCTGGGGTCAGCTGGGGACTCCCCACCTGATCCTGGGCTCTGCAGCATTTCCACGGAACCTGGGATCAGCTGGGGAGTCCCCAGCTGATCCCGGCTCCACTTGGCCTTTCAAATCCGCAGCGCAGCATGGAACCTGGGGTCAGCGGGGGACTCTTGTACATTTCAAAGGAGGAATGAGGAATTCCACCTACAGCCCAGGCAAGCGGGAAGTTCTGCTGACTCTGGCCTGCACACAGTGTGCCAGCTTTGAAATGTGCAAGAGTTCCCAGCAATGGCTCTTGTGCATTTCCAAGCATCAGCACAACATGGAGTCCATGCTGCGCTGCGGATTTGAAATGCCATGTGGAGCCGGGATCAGATGGGGACTTCCCAGCTGATCCCAGGTTCTGTGGACATGCTGCGAACTCCCCAGCTGACCAGCGCTGCCCCTTTGAACACCGTTTTATGCAGTTACACAACTATTCAATTACACGCTATCTAACATCCCTAGCTACAATGAGGAGGGATAGAGGATTCTGCTAATGAGTACAATAAAACCAGAAAGAGATTTTTGCTGGTCTCTTTAGTGGCCATTTCTTAGAGATGGAGCAAAATTGCACTCTGTACATTGAGGATACTAGGCAATGTCTCAAAAGAAAAGGTTACCTGTTAAGAGTGGTTTCACATTCAGCACTCCCTAGGGATGTAATAGTGTAGCCAATTAACCAATAAGCAAAAGCTTCCCCCCGCCCATGGCCAGTACATTTTTTAGCAGGCTGGCCAGCAGCCCAGCTTAGTCCTGGCTTGCGATGGGGCCACAGACTCTTCCTGCCATGGCTCCGCAATTAAAGCGTATTAGGAGCCGGGGACTGGGGGGGAGGCAGCCTGGCTCAGTTCCAGCTCGTGTCAGGTCCGGGAGCTCAGACACCCGCCCCCAGACAGGAGCTGCTGCCACCCCATGCGGTTGCCTCTTTATCAGAGGCCGCAGCACAGGCTGACAGGCAGCCAGTCCGCAAGGGGAGCTAGTTTTTAAACTGGCTTCCCTCATGGACCAGTTTCCACCTGGCACCCTGCTCTGCTGCCTCGCATACAGAAGCAGCAGCGCGGAGTGGTAGGGGGCTCCTCGGGAGTGAAGCCAGAGTGCACTGGCTGCCGGCCCCACCCCCCGGGACTACAGAATAGTCAAGTAACCGACAGGAATTTCGATATTTAACATCACTCACTGTGCTGAATTAATTCCTATGTATTTGAACAGGCATGTGATTATACTAGTTCTGTGCAAATTAAGCGATAAGATAGACTTTTTTGCCTATACAGCTGAGATGATCATTTCAAGCAACTCACACATCTCCTGACACTCACACAGAGACCTTACCTTTGTCTTCCTTTGGCTTTTCTTCTTTTTGTTTTTCTAACATTTCCAGCATTCTTTTCTTTTCCAGTTTTCTCAATAGCTTTAGTTCCTTCCATTTTTTCTTCTCTTCTTTTCCTGAAATGCAGAATAATCAACTGATTTTAAATGAGCAGAGACTCAAAAATGTAATGGTTCTCTTGCCAGAAGTGAAATACATTAAAAATCCTACTATGGGTAGGCAGGTAGACAGGATCTGGGGAAAGCATGAGGAAAGACAAGAGACAGGGGAGGAAAACAGGTATCAAATATGACATCAGATCAGGGATGTAGACCTGAGTGCCAGAATATCAACAGTAAAGCAGAAAGATGCATTTGGCTATTTTCCTGAGAATCAACAAAAGTGGTAATCGGAACTAGTTTTTTGTATTGCGAAGACATGTCGGGCTCGTCTACACTGGCCCCTTTTCCGGAAGGGGCATGTTAATTTCACAGGTCGTAATAGGGAAATCCGCGGGGGATTTAAATATCCCCCGCGGCATTTAAATAAAAATGTCCGCCGCTTTTTTCCGGCTTTTAGAAAAGCCGGAAAAGAGCGTCTACACTGGCCCCGATCCTCCGGAAAAAAAGCCCTTTTCCAGAGGATCTTATTCCTACTTTGAAGTAGGGGCCAGTGTAGACGCTCTTTTTCGGCTTTTCTAAAAGCCGGAAAAAAGCGGCGGACATTTTTATTTAAATGCCGCGGGGGATATTTAAATCCCCCGCGGATTTCCCTATTACGACCTGTGAAATTAACATGCCCCTTCCGGAAAAGGGGCCAGTGTAGACGTAGCCGTCCAGTAGAAATTGGGCATGTTGGCCACTTCACACATGCTACCACACCAGTCTTTAAATGGCAACTTCTTAATAACAAGCCAGCCTACTCTGACATTGAATCAGTGACCCAGAAGTAAAAAAATTCTGGATTTCATTAAGAGCCTGCCTTCCAGCTATTCAAGCGATATGATGAATGTCTGAGGGTTTCTTTCTAAAATTACAATATGCACAAAAAGTGTCTCCTTACTTTCTTGTTTCCATTTGCGCCAGTCAACCTTTTTCTCTTTCTCCTAAAAAAGAAGCAATAAGCTATTTACATTCCATCACTCAAAGGACTAATACAATTTAACAATACAAAGAATTCAACCAGATGTACAGGCTCTCTCAACCAGCAAGGTATTGGGAGACGCAAGGAAATATTGAGACCACTGGAATGCTCTCTGCCTTGTTCATAAAAGCAGAATTGGGGTTTTCTCTCCAGTTCAGTTGTGCATTCTAGTATTCAAGAGCTCCTCCATACTAGTGAAATATGCACCCATTTCCATGATATAGCTACATCAGAATAAACTTTTAAGGTAGGAACACTGAGCTAGTGCAAAACGAGTATGTAACATTTCACAATTGTGTACTGCATCCAATGCAAGGGTTTGCATAGTGTAGCTACACAGACTTCCCCAATAAACAAAACGCAGCATAAACAGGGGCTACCCCCTTTCATTTCTGGTCCTTCCAGGGCACGTCTACATTGCACTGTAAAGCCAGGCATATGGGCCGTACACTTCTGGGCTGTGTCTACACTGGCATGAATTTCCGGAAATGCTTAAAACAGAATAGTTTTTGTTATAAATATTTCCGGAAAAAGAGCGTCTACATTGGCAGGATGCTCTTCCGGAAAAGCCCTTTTTCCGGAAAAGCATCTATGGCCAATGTAGATGCGCTTTTCCAGAAAAGAGCTCCGATCGTCATTTTCGCGATCGGGGCTTTTTTCCGGAAAAAACTACTGGGCTGTCTACACTGGCCCTTTTCCAGAATAGTGTTCCGGAATAAGGACTTATGCCCGAGTGGGAGCAGCGTAGCTTTTCCTGAATAGCGGCTGATTTTGTAGAGTAGAGCATCGTTGCTTTTCCGGAAATTCAAAGGCCAGTGTAGACAGCTCGCAGCTTATTCCGGAAAAGCGGCTGATTTTCCGAAATAAGTGGCCCAGTGTAGACACAGCCCTGGTGTTTCCAAGCCCTTGCTCTAAGCACCCTAGTTGCATTACAAACCTGGGTGTACAATTGGCGGATCCAGGTTTGACAACCACGCTAAGGCAGCCAGGCTGCACTACACGGACCTTCTGAGACGGGTCTGTGGCTGGATTGTCAAACGACAGGGCTTGGGCCCGAGTCTCACAGGCAGGGCCTAGGACAGATGCATGTGTGGAGCTGGCAGGACGGGCTTGGAATGGACTCGAAGCCGAGCCTGAGCCCGGGGTTTACACGGAGCGTGGCTGGGACAGGTGTCTGCGCGCAGAGCAACAGCCCCCAGGGGGACCCAAAAGCCGGACCCCGCCCCGGCTCACTCCATCCCGGTCCCCGGTCGCGCGCCAGGGGAGACAGCCCCGCGCGCGAGAGCGGACTTGCCCCCTCCGCCG